AAACTCATTTATCTCTTCATGTTAGAAGTATATCAGAATTTGTGGAATGACTAAGACGTAATTATTTTGAAGAATTTGTTCTTTCTTTGATAGTTCTGTAGTTGATAGTTTTATGGCATTTATTTGCGTAACATGCCACTCTTCACACTGCAAACACGTCTTTGGAAGCATAGTATGTTTACTAATTTGGGGCATAATTTTTACTATTTTTTAAACTGTACAATCCGATTAATAGTTTTTTTTTTCTTATTAGAACGGTGACATTTTTAAGTTATTAACCTTTGACTTTTTTAGCGTACCTCAGCATGAGATAACGACTAAACAGCCTTGTCAGGTCTATTATTAGAAGCGAGTTCGTTTACTATCACGTTTAACCTTTCAGGTAAACTTTTAAATTTAAGATTCTCATAAGAGTTATAATGTCAGCTTAAGCGTATTTTGGCAATTAGAAACTAACTTTAAAAAAATGACCTGACATAGCGAATTTCATAACATCTTACTATTTTGCTTAGCCTTCAATGTGCCGTGTCACATCAGAACGTGGGATGCTAAGCCATCCACAGCTTCCTATTTTCTGTAACTCTTAGTAATTTTTACCTTTTTACTATCCCTTTCATTTACTTACGCTTATTATGTAGATTAATATCAGCTGCCTTCTGCCTCACATTTTCACATTGAAATACCGGTCCTCGTACGTTCTCCGTCGAGTCTGGTCAGTACAACTCCACGAGATCGCTAAAAGAAGAGCATAGCATGAAGAAAAAAACGCCAAACTTGATGAAAACAAAATTTTATCGTCTAAATGTTTATGTTATTATTAATAGGAAAGATGAAAGTATTTGGGGGATATTTTTTTACATTTTTTAATCGTTCCTAGCACGTTCGAAATTTTCGATAAAAATCCCGTTTTTTTTTTTGAGTCAGCAAAATTGACCATTTTTTTCCATTATATAAAAAATCTTGAAATCTCACTTTGAAATTCTTTTAAATATCAATTATCATTTTTTCAAAACTTATTTTAAGAAAATCAGAAATTATAATGTTTATTTAAAATATTTTGATCCAAGCTTAACTTAGCGTCTGCGCTGAAAAGATGTAATTTGAAAATAAAACAAAGCAGGTCATAAATTTTCGCGTCACTTGACAGGTGATGAATGACATATTGACGTATTCCGTAAGGATAATTTGTTCTACGGAAGGAGAAAAGTGAAATAATTCACATTTAAGTGAACAAATTATTTACCTTTAAGGAAAACTTTAAGCGCTCTCATTTTTTTTTTGTACTTAGCTTTCACCTTTACGTTTAAGATGCTTTATGGAAAATATATTATAAAGAAATTAAAATAAAACAGATAAGAGTGAGATTAAATTTCATATTTCTTAAGAAATATATCTAATTAATTTATAGGTACCTTTCTTATGAAATTTTATCAGAAGAGTACATAAAATATTATGATTTTATGTACATTTATTACATTTTACTGCGTTATTTGTATTTCTATTCATTTTATTATTAATTTTGATATTTCATTTATGGAAAATTTATGGAAAATGTCATAACTGAGATTAATATAAAAATAAGATCATATAAATTTCATAAGATGATACTGATACTTGTAGGTACCCTTCTCAGTTGAAATTGAAAAATCAAATTAACTTCTCCACATGTGTTTCGCAAAAGTAAAGACCTTAACAGCCGTGAACAATGCTTAAATCTAATAACGCAACTTAATTGTATTCTGGGTGGTCTTCCACAGTTTATAATTACAGGCCGATTATAAGCACGAAATTAGATTTCTTAATTACTGCGGATCTTCTGATTCGTCAAAATGATACAATTTACAACGCGCTAAAAAAAAATCTATCTCATGAGGAGACTAAGGAAACCCAATGCGGCTTTTAACTAATTTTATAATATTTTAACAACTTAAATGTAAAAATCTATTATAATTAAGAAATAACAGAAAATATTGTGCATATTCATAAAAACAACTAAAAGCAAATAAAAGCATTTGAAATTAAATAATATCTTATTTGAATTTTGTATGTTACAATTCAGAGCTGATTTTCAGGTCGGGGGTCCAATGAAAAACAAACAAAAAACATGATTTCCATTCCTCAAAGCCTTGTGCTTTCAACTACTGTAATCACTAAACTCAATGCGATCGAATTTCTAGCGTTTTCATAAAAATAGCTAATGAAGCGGGGGTGATAGATATAAAAAATATTTCTGCCATGAGCTTAATAAAAAGACATATTTATAATAATTTAGATCATCTGTGAATAGGTCCTGAAAGTTTCATTAACATCCGACAATTATTTTTATTTTTGCAACATTTTCCAAATTAAAGTCTGTCATAAAAAAAGAAATTGTCTATGTTATTTTACTAGTTCCAGTGATACAAAGAGAAACAAGGTTTTTTTAATCAAAATTTAGAATGTTCTAAAAAGAAGGAATTTTTTTTTAAATAATTTAAAAACAATTGGTCTTTCCTCTTAATAATTACTGAATAGGATAAACACACGAAGTTTGGTAATGAACGATAATACATAAGACAAGAACAACACATATAAGATTCGCCTGCGGTGTGTAAAAGAATTATTCGACTGCTAGAAGTAAGTCAAGTGAATTCCACAATAAATCTTCAACTGTAGGACAAATACCAACCGCCTCACGCGGTCATATGTGGCACAAGGCCAAGTTTAATGTGGGATAACCCGAGCCCCTAGGCTCTGCCAAAAATTCCCTGTAGACTCCGTATAAAACTGAGTCGGTAGCTATTTCTCGAAACGAGACTCTGCCATTCAACAGAGATTCGTCTCGGGATCCTCTCTGCCCGGAACCAGTGAGTTTGATCAGCACAGCTGGAGACGAATCTCTAACTGCAGGATATCTACCAACTGTTCCACGTAGTCAAATATGACACAAGGCCGAATTTAATGTGGGTTATACAAGCCCGTAGGCTCGGCCAAAAAATTCTCCATAGAACCCGTATAAAACGATGTCGGGTAGCTGTTTCCAGAGACGAGACTCTGTCCTTCAGCATAGCCTCGTCTGGGAATTCTCTTTTCACGGAGGCAGAGAGTTTGACGATAACAGCTGGAAACGAATCTCCAACTGTAGACCAATATACAGTATTTACTACTGTATTAATGTGAATGGGGAAATACTCATTATCGTCTGTAGGTATGCTACAACAATTTCCAAACTCTGTTTTGGTTATTCTTCATTCAGTAACCTTTTCTAGGTTACATTAACATTCCTCACTACCAAAAACAAAAGGTCTTTTTAACTGTACTAGAGAAATGAAAGAAAACATGGAATAAAAGAAAGAATTCAAAAGGGAATGAAAGAAGGGTAAAAAAGAAAAGAAAATGAAGGAAGAATAAGAAAATGAAAGAAAGATGGAATAAAGAATAAAAGAAAAAGAAAGAAAACAAGGAAAAGGCAAAAGGAACAAGAACAAAAAAAAACGAATTTAAAAAATAAGGAATAAAAGAAAGAAATAAAAAAAGAAAGCACGAAGATTTGAAATGAATAAAATGTGAGGAATAAAAAACGAACAAAAGAAAGAAAAAATACTTAATGAAAGGAGGAGGACAGTAATATATAAATAAATAAAGCATAATAAATAAACACAAATAAATAAAGCATAATAAGCACATAATTAAATAAAGCATAATAAATAAAAACATAAATAAATAAAGCATAATAAATAAACATATAAATAAGTCATAATAAACTAACACAAATAAATAAAGCATATTAAATAAACACATAAATATATAAACACGTAAATAAATAAAACAATAAATAAACACATAAATAAATAAAGCATGATAAATGAAAAAGAGTAGAAAAATCATAGAGAATAAAAGAAATAAGAAAAAGAAAGATATATATAAATAGAGAAAAGGAAAGCGTAATGAATAAAAGAAAGAAAGAAAGAAAAAAGAAAGAAAGAAAGAAAGAAGCCTGAGGAATGAAAACAAAGAAGAAAAGTATAAGTAATTAAAAAGAAAGAAAGCATCTGAGTGAATGGACGGGGAAACGTTTAGGACTTGGACGATCCTGACTCTCTATAAATTCTTGTTCCTTGTTGCTGTAAGCCACGTTTTGACATTCGACCTTTCATCTTTGCACCTCTCTGCCATTCATTCACCCAAACACATTAGGTAGGTTAAAAGTTGTTTCCCTGTTAACCTCATTCCGTCAATATATTATGAGAGGGTTAAATTTTTCAAAACACCATTTTCTCATAATGTATCCCAGAAATTTGAAATATCTCATTCTGATATTAAGTGCAAGTATTCTTCAAGTCAATACATTCTTTGGAAATTCCGAGTTCCTCACACATTCCTTTCCTATTATTCTCATGAGACATCTGTAGAACCATAGCTGGGTCGGTTCGAGTTTCCTTTTCATCAGTTAAGAAATCATTTAGTGTTCAAGAGCATATAGGGGAAAAGCGATCATATCATTACTCTTTTATATGTCTCAAAATAACATTTCCTGTCTTAATACACTACATAAGAATTGGCAATAAAAGAAAGAAAGAAAGAAAGAAAGGGTAATGGATGAATGTATAACAGTATCAAATAGCTCAATCAACTATCGATAAAAAAAGAGTGAAGGCAAGAATAAAAAGAGTGAAGGAAAGAATAAAAAGAGAGAAGGAAAGAAAAAAAAGAGTGAAGGAAAGAATAAAAAAGAGAGAAGGAAAGAATAAAAGAGAGAAGGAAAGAATAAAAAAAGAGAAGGAAAAAAAAAAGAGAGAAGGAAAAAATAAAAAGAGTGAAGGAAAGAATAAAAAGAGAGAAGGAAAGAATAAAAAGAGAGAAGGAAAGAATAAAAAGAGTGAAGGAAAGAATAAAAAGAGAGAAGGAAAGAATAAAAAGAGTGAAGGAAAGAATAAAAAGAGAGAAGGAAAGAATAAAAAGAGTGAAGGAAAGAGAAATAGAAAGAAAGACGCCATAATGAAGTAAACAAATAAAATGAATTAAGCAGAGAGAAAGAAAGAATAAAGTATGAAGAAAGCGGGAAATAAAAACGAAATCTTATGGAATATTTGACAGAAAGAAAACAAGAGAGGAAAGAAAGAAATCATAGAATAAAAAAAGAAAGAATGAATGATTAAAGAATAAAAGAAATAAAGAAAACGTAAAACATAAAAGAAAGAAGGCATAATAAAGGCCAACAAGCAAAGAAAGAAAAAAGAGGAATAAAGAAAGAATGAGAGACGTACAAGCCACAATCTCCCCAGTTCTAATTGGGATGTTGGAATCTATTCCACCGAAATCAAATTCCTATATCCTCAAAATAAGAATAAAGCCTAATATTATATCACTTCCGTTACTTGCAACTGCGATGATTGAACGATTTTATACAGAGCGCCCCTTATGCAAGGTTTCAGGTCGAAAACGAAAACCTTGAGAAAAACCATAATAATAATAATAATAAATTGTTATTAAAGACTACAAACAATTGGTATTAAAGACCACAAACAAAAACGGTGCCTCCTTATTGATATGGCAGTCCCTGCTGACTGCAATGTATCTTTGAAGATATTCAAAAAGCTGTCAAAATACAAGGACCTTGAAATAGAAATCTCGAAAATGTGGCATATGGGAACATCAACACTCCCTGTTGTAGTTGGAGCCCTAGGACTGGTTGGAAAAGATTGCAGTAGACTAATTGAAGGGATTCCTGGAAGTCCATGCCTCAAGGAGATACAAAAAATTGTTCTGACAAGTACAGCCCACACTTTACGAAGGGCTTTATCTATGTAATTTTTTTTTTTTTTTTTTTTTTTTGTCAGTGGAAAGTGTCATGCTGCCATTTCTAACCTTAGACCCGGAAAGAAATGTTTGAACGCCAGAAATAAAATAAAATAAAAATAATAATAATAATTAGAAGAAGGAGAATTAACATCGTTAATGTGGACACTAATAAAAGAATATGCCCTGAAGCAGCTGATCAAGTTTTGAATACATGTCTGTTATATTATGATTTTTAAAATCGCTTGCAGGTGATAAAATAGTTCAATATCTTATCATAAACCAAAATATACAATTATCGAATGGATAAATTCTTTGAAAAACCGACCACTAAGATTATTTCTAAAAGCTTATTCATCCCTACTCACCTACTGGCAACAAAAATAAATAAACACATTCCCAGTAAATTAATCAATATCTTACAGTATGATCGTCAATTTGAACGGAGTGAAGTTTGCTGCAAGGTAGCATTCTAATTGGACGTCTTTGCCGCCAGTAAGCTTTCCATCTAACAAGATCAGAAATAGTTTCAGCAAAATAACAAGAGTTTGAGAATGCGAGGCTGATTGTGAACGCAAATATTAAGTTAGAATTTATGTGAAGAAAATTGATTTTTTGGCGAGTTAAGATTCAACTAGGCAGAAATGGACTGAAAGAAATCGATTAAACACTAAAGGTGACGACAAGAAAAATACTTATCTTTATAATATCAAAGATCCATAGTCTGAGTCTATAACTACAACTTTCTATTAGAAATATTTACACTATTGTTCCATTTACTGCTATTACTGTATATATCTGTATATAATGCATGCATGTTAATATATTTTCATGGGAATAACACGCATCTTATCCCAGAGATTTCAAATGTATAATATAAACTTTTCCCAAATTGATTGCTGTCCTCCTATATGGTAGCGAATGGGCGCCTAGAGGCGGTGTAATGGTTACCAAGCTTGTCTTGCTAGAACAATTACGACTGAATAGTGAGATCGATCCTCACTGGGTTTCCCATACTTTCGGTTTTGTGTCACATCTAAGCTACGCTTGGAAAATCACTATATGGTAGTGAATATTGGACAATCTTCTAACAGATGAAGAAAGACCCTATTCATTGCATTTAAGCCGTTTTTTATCATTGATCTGAGAAAACGATCATATATAGATAACAGTAATTTTTTTTGAAAGAGTTTGATGCCATATATGATATCCATATGAGCGCCTACATCTGGTGAGGATACATAACATCATGTCTCGAGTGTTTAAGTAAATATTCTGGTCTTGTTACCCCTTGTGGTGTTGGACAAAAGTAGCCCTAGTGCCAACACAAAACTTGATCAATTTGCTTACACGAAATTTGTTAAAAATCATGCATACAGCGAGGTAGAACTTATTAATTCCATATTCTGCATGTTTATGGCAGATTTAGACTTCGCGGCAGGACTACATTTATTTCATTCCCTACATCTTGGAATTCTTCATAATGAATATTAAGTCTTTATTCAACATTATGCCAACTTCTTATACATTTATCATCAGCATAGCAACACCCGCCATTACACTTGCCTCTGGAGGGAAAACAAAACGCTCTTCACTATTAATGGATTCATTTGGAAAGTGGTCATCATCATTTATGTGCCATAACCCTTCAGGACGTAAACAATCATGTCTCTCTACATCTTCCTGAGTTTCGTCTTCTGGCATACATGTATATTCTTCTACTTCTTCTATATGCCGTATCCCTACAGGACGTGGTCGATAATGACTCTCTACAATTTCAAGGATTTTTCCTATATCTCCTTACCCTGTTCTACCAACCGTCTGTACAAGAACGTTTCAATATGTCATGTGTGCATCAAATTTTCCAAGCCCTCTTTCCTCATTATGTACCCTCGATATATTGACTGTCAATTTTTCCTGCAAAGTATAAGTGTCCTTTTTGTTTCCATTTTCTCTAAAACTTCGTCGTTGCTCACATCATTATTCCAAGGTATCCTTGGCATCATTTTGCATAAACTCAATTCTCTTACCTCAAGTGTCTATTCTTCATCTGTTAGCATTCCCTGCCATGTAGGAGAACTTATATTTATTTCTAAGGAAGTTACACTGTTTCTTAATAATTTCCTTAACTTTTGGAAGACATATTTCGCTATGTCAATCCACATTCGGATTTTTGAAATCGCATTTTCTCACTTTCATATCGCCCAGTTCATACTTCTCCCCGTTTTTTTTTATTTTTTTTATTTTTTTTTTTTTAACAGGAGTAGATATTTATCCATTTCTTCTGTTCAGAATTGAGTTTTCTGTACTTTCAATTCTGTACTTCTGACATCACCGACTGAACTCTGAAATTTTATTCTGTATTTTTTTTAGCTCTGCCAAGAGACGTAAGATACGCTTAGACATTTTTTTAAAGATTTTGATATCATATATATCAATATGAAAATCTATATCTAACGTGGATATATAAGATCATGCTTCGAGTTCTCTAGTAAATATTCTGGTCTTGCAGCACCTTGTGATATGGCACGGAATGTCTAAATGAACTAGGCTCATTTTGCATATACAGAAAGGAAACTACAGATCGATTTCTTCACATCTGTGCTTGTATACGCGCAATGTATTCAGTGCTTAAATCGGATATAGGTTCACACTTCTCCCCAGTTTTTCCAACAGTGGTGTATCCCTTGTTCCCTGTTTAGGTTTCCGGTTGCTTTTAAAGTCTACTGCAGCTCTATACTCCTAGCGTACCTGCCAGACCTCTGGACTTTATTCACTACTTCATTTTTGCCCTTTTTTAAGCTAATACAACTCCACACAATAATTCTCTACCTTGAGTGGTTCTCGGGACTTGTATTAAGTAAACATTAGTAAGGAAATGCACTACATTCTGTAGTAGTTATTGTAGTTTCCTTTCGGTATATAACTTTATATATGCAGATGGCGCAGAGTTGACATGTGATATAGAGTATTTAAATGAATTAGCACCATTTATAGGATACACAGAAAGGAAACTACAGGTATATTTCTACACACCTGTGCTTGTATACGCGCAAAGTATTCAGTATTAATATCGGATATATATTCTTTTCCCTTATGTAATTCGAGTGGCGAGTCGCGTCTTAAACTGTATTCTCTTCATATGACTAACCCGTTCACTTGTTGTTAGTTTTTTTTTTTCTTTAACACAACCAAAACTTCCATCTTCTGTAGAAGATCTTTCTATGACTTACACATTACGCAGAACATTTACTTCAATAGACATTTTTACATAACAGCGCTCATTCGATTTCCCGCTTATTTTTGCTATGAAGTTTCAGTTTGAAACTGTTATGCTTTTACTTAATTGTATATCCTTGGCTTTAGCTCTTCCTATAGTCGAAGCATTTTATGATATTGCATTTTGTCTGTACCTTTCTTCATCATTAACAACGCAGCAACTCTAACGCCTTTGTCAAAAAAAACATTGTTTAATACTGGTATAGTTGTAGATCTCATTGCAGAAAGATTTGTAACATTTCTTTTTCTTTTATGGCTATTGATACATGATTCTTAAAGACAGGCCGGCTTTGTAAAAAAGAACCAACGAAGAAAAAACACCATATTAACATTATGACATAATTTTGGAGACGAGGGATTATTTTAACCCCTCCAAAATGAAAGTGCTCTCTTTGAATCATATTTGAGAACCAATTTTCACTTCCATCTCCATAACTAATGATAACCTCCAACAGAGCAACTCATTAAACCTTCTTGTTCTCAAGTTTTCTACTTACATAGAGTGGAATTATTATGTTGAGTCAATTGCCGGGTTTGATGCGAAGAAAATTGGTTCACTGTGTTTCTCGCCTGAAGCAATCAAGCCTGTTTATAAATCTAATATTTGTCCGTGCATTGAATATTGCTGCCATATCTTGTCTGGTGCTCCGGCTATATATCTCAAGATGCTAGACAAAAAAAAACAAACAAAAAAAACAAATAAGAGTCTGTAATGTTATCGGTCCCCATCTAATATCACGACTTCAATTACTTGCTCTCACGGAACAGTACATTCACTATATACCTGCCAGACAATTTTTATTGCCATAATCTATCTCTGTGCATAGACTGTTGTTGCGGTTGACACTTTGGTTACAAAGTACAATCTGCAACGTTATCGGTTATGTCATGGCATCTCGGCTTCAGTCACTTACCCACCAGTAAAAACATAGTTTCTCTGTACCTTTTCTATAAATATTTTCATTGTAATTAATTTCCTCTATGGTACCTCGACTTCACGAATTTAAGCGTTGTACTCGATTGGCTGTTAGGTCTTTATATTACAGTTGAAATTGCTAGAAGTAATCGTAACTTCTATGCTAATACTTTCATCTCTCGGACTTCTCGCTTGTGGAAATATTATTCGGTTACTAGCTTTCATATCAACTACGATCTGTAAAAATAAATGCAACTACAATGATAATCATTGTCTCCTTAAAGCCTGTTCTTTTATTGTCCTCTCTCTGTTTCACTCACTCTCAATAGACCCTTGCCTCTTAGTGGAGTTTATCGCATTGCTTGGAGGGAAATGATAAAAAAAAACTTAAATTAAAAAATTTAATATGACTTCAAACATTTTGGCTGTCCGGCCTTCTTCAGTTGTTTGTCATTGGATATGGTAACTTTCTTGGGTTTCGAAGCGAATAGTTTATTGAATCGACCGGTGTAAATTGCTCTCGTTACTATTAATAGGGCCCTGATAAGTAATCACCGGTTTTTCTTTAATTTTTTGTTCGTTTCTTCCACTAAAGCAGACTATATGACTCTTCAGAACAAGCAGATCTGGAATTGAATAAAACAATCGTAAGAAAATTTGACATGTTTTAATCAACGCTACAATCCACAAGTCCCTGTGTCACTTGAAATTCGAAGAAACATACATGAAGGGCATATATAAGAGTTTCTGTTTCTTACTCTCCTCAAAACGTGATGGTCAGCAATCACACCTTACTACCCACGTTCCTTTGCTGATACTACTATGACGATTTAGTGCGGTTTATTTTGTTTTACGGCATATCAGCCTCAGTGGGTTATTTAATGGCGACAAGATTTTCAGGATAGGTTCGGATGAACAGAATATGTGTTCAGTTTGTAGATCAGGTTTCTTTTGGGGCGCATCCACCTTCTCATCAGAATGGACTACTGTTGAGATGTTGAGTATTTCCGCGTGCGTGTATTGAAATAAGGACAAACACATACGGAGGGAAAAAATACTGGTATATCTGAAGAGGTATTTACAACAGAGAGATTAGTAGTCAAACGAACGCAGGTTAGTCAGTAACAATCAGAAAGAGTATAAAGTCCAACTGTATCTTCCGGTAGAGAGACGGAAGTGTGATGGTCACCTGATCTTCTCCAGAACTCTATAGAACTGCCCTATTAGTAGTAGAGAGATCAATCCATAGGCTTCGTAATCTT